AGTGCAATAGATAGGTAGTACTTGGTTGCTTTAAGAACCTGACAGTACTTCATGGTGATCAAGTAACCTTTCAGCTCCAGATCAAAGGTGGCCCAAGCTCAGGGAAACCACCACCAACAGGTGCTTGATGCTATGCTAGTACCTAACCCAATCCAAGCAATCTCACCAACAAGAATGCAAATTTCTATCTAAATAGTCAGACGTTTACATCACAAAAACATTACCATTGATATTTTTAGCGATACCCAGTAGAAAAGCACTATGTGAAGATGGAATATGAACCACCTTCCATGATCCCTTACTCAAGATTAATTCAAGAAGCACATAGAAAGAATGGACAAAGTTAACATCACTTACATCTTCTTTGAAAAAAGTTAAAGCATCTTTCACAAAATCTGAAATAACTTAAATAATGACAAAGTCGAATCTGTCACAAAAAAATTTGCTGCTCTGTAGGGCAGAGAAGAAGGATGGACAATGAGATACTTGAAACAGGTTATGGCCTACAGGAAGCATCAGTTTGAGTTGACACAGTATCAGGGTGTTCTCACCCTCCTTCCCACACAACTTTCAGTATGTCTTGCAAAACATCTTGAAAATCATTTTTGAAAAGTATGAACAGACATTACCAATCCCAGCCACTCAGCAACTAGGCCATTAAAGTAACTTTGATATTCTGCTGATTCTGCCATTACAGATCAGAGCATTTTACCAATATTTTGTTCAAAACCAGTGTCTTGAGTTCGTAAGAACACCGGCATTTGGGCTACTTATACGTTACTGATAAAACAGTATTAAGAGATGTTTTTCTTAACAGCACTGAACTGTATTTCTAATGAAAAATGTGCCCCCCCCCGAATAAACATTTATAATCTGCCTACAGAATGAATTACAATTACTTTATACCTGCAACTGCACTCTGTACTACAGCTACAGTTTTCAGCAAGACAACTCACAACAATAAATATGATCTGGTAACTCTGGAGTCTAGTGACAAATGTTTACTGTTCGTCCTAATCCATGCTGCTTTTACAGCTGCTTTCTTTGCTTGAAACGCTGAGATAGAAATCAAAAGGCCCTAATTCCTTCCCCCAGGCAAAGGAATTACCTCATTTATGTGGATCCTCCTGTCAGGGCCTTGAGCGCACTTCCATCACCCTAGGGGTTTAGCTACCAGAAAGGCTCCGTAAGGAAAAAGACGCATCTTGAAAACACCATCCAGCTCTGCTTCTCTCCTTATTGCAAAAATCTTGAATTCATAATACCCAATAACCCTCTTCTCTGTGCTGTCCTAATGGCATCTTCATAGCTAGTGACCTGTCTATGCACGAAGATCCTAAAGGAGTTCTCCACGCAGATATCCCACAAGCAGTGGCTTTGGCTACACCATTTGTTTCACAGCCAGCTACAAGCTCAAGTCTCTATCCAGGATCACAAACCACAGCAGTCAGTCATTCCATGGCCATAATGGCTGCTCAAACTGGAATTGTAATTTTCTTGGAAGCTTTGTATTGTTTCAATACAAGGTAAGTTTTCAGTTCACCATGATAACCAGTGACAAGCAGCTCAGATGACCATTATGCACTATCTTCATACTCTAGAAAGATCAATGCAGCAGTAGCATAACTCGGATCTCCTGGAAAGCCTGTTGTGGGTGGAATGACCAAGGGCTCACTACCCCAGCAGGCCAAACACTCTCACTGAGCCAGTGCTTTCAGCACAAGCAAATAGCACACAGTAATGGCTCCACGCCACTTGCATTCAGTGTGGATCAGGCTCTTTTGGTGCTAGGTGCTTTCCAACACCAGGTCCAAAGTCATCTTCTGCAGACCTGATTTCTACACATTGGTCTTGAACAACTGCCAACAGTCTATGGTTGTGACAAAGGGCATAGTCTCACAGTACCTGAACAAGGAAAGAAGAGCAGGTGTACTGACAGTGATCAGGGTCAGCCAACAGTCCAGTGGTTGCTGAACAAGTCCACAGTGAAGAGGCACACCAAGCCAGGTAGTCAACACATCAGGATCCAGATCAGCAAGGTACATGGCTGGACAACCACATAGCTGCAACCTAGGTGAGGCAACGACCACAGCCAAAGGCCTGAGCTTAAAGACAACTCCTGAGTGAAAGGGGAACCCCGATAAGACTTCTCACAGCTCTTTCCACAGCAGTCTGACTCAAGATTATGGCTGCACCATATCCAAGATGACCTTGAGCACTGGCAGCTAAATGAACTGCTGGAGGATGGGGTACGTGGGGCCCTGACACCTCCTATCCTACAAATACCCACTGCTCCTCCTTATTGGTCATGGTGCAGATACCAGCGACAGCAACAGCAGTCAATAAAATTTTGACACCCTTATTTCGTATTCACAAGACTCATAACATCATTTTTAAAACCCACCTGCATCTGTTTTTCCAATTGTGTTTTGGCAAAGCTGTAAGTAGCCCAGACAATAAAGCTGTCTGCAGTTCAGGAGGGGGAGGAAGAAGGGGAACAAGCTCCCATCCCATGCCAAATCAGAAGATGTCCTTTTTATTCTGCAGACATTACACACTCCATATGATCCAGGTACAGAAAGTGCTTTAGAATTTAGAAAAGCAAGATTGCATTTTTTATTTTCAAATAAGTCCTGATAGTGTAGACCACAAGGCTTCACAGATTTTTTTTGAAAAATATGATTAAGGCCAAATATGGTAGCTACAATATAAGGGTAAAATAAAATATAATACACCACCTCAAAATTTTAGTTTAAAGATTATATGGAATTGGTGACAAAGTAGTATATTCTCTATTACAACAGACTAGATCTACTAGAAACAACTGAGGGGCTTGTGCCCCCCCACTTTTGACATTGAAGTTTTAGCTCTTACAGCTGCAAAGAGGAGTACTTCTAGAAATTCAATCCTATACTGCAACAGATGATGTAAAAGGACAACTGTAAAAGTAGTATGGATTGGGACAAACAGTAAACATTTGTCATTAGGCTTCAGAGTTACCAGTTCATTTTTACCACTATTAATTTTGCATGTATTGTTCTGACAGGCTTCATTTTGGAGGCAGATCAGTACTGGTAACATCAGAGCAGCTAGTGAGATGAGGTACACAAAAAAACCCAAAGCAAATTCTGTATACATAGATGTATGGAGGAGATGCTTTTCCCCTCCCAGCATCAAAAAACTCCTCTGGGCTATAATACCAAAGACCCATCTAATTTCCTACCACCTGAAAAATGCAAAACAATCTCCCAGTTATTACTTAATTGCTTACAAGAAAGTCCACTCTCATCACCCATTTAAAAAAAAGAAAACAAACACACACCACACACAACCAAACCACAAAACCCCTTAAACGCTACTTTACTACTGTATTACCCAGTGCACCAAAAATGTAGGTCTTAGGAAAGTGAATTTTAGAACAGTTGCTTAAAATCTGCTGTTTCCTCAATTATGTATTTGATTGGAGCAACAGCAGGGATAATAAATTCACTGACAAGACCCTTGTTACCGTATTGAGACAAAGGATTATTAAGGTTCATCATTATAACATTTCATGATTCTGATTCCAATCTTGGTTTGTTTCCCTGACTTGCACCTTTAAAAGATGGTGCTTCTCCCCTTCCAAACAGCAGCATCTATCAGATAATTAAGGTGATTTGCGCAGAGTGAAAAGGGAAGGCCTGTCTACAGGTCAGGCAGTTGCATTTATATTCCCTTGACAACAAGCAGTGTCCCTATTCTAACTCAAGGGATTTTTAATGCATTCCTTCCCCCCCCCTTCCCCCCCCCCGACCAAAATTAGAGTCTTCTGGAATACATCCAGTCCCATTTCAGAGAAGGATATGGCTCTTTTAAAATATAAAGAGAAATCATGATTTCTTAATACATGAAGACCAGTGCTACTGCTTAAAGGAGCAGGCTTCTTAACAGCTGAGGTTTTTTAAACTTTCAAAGCAAAATTTTTTCAGTGTACGCAATATTAATGAAAAAAATACTCTTTTCAGTACTAACATCCAGCCTACCCCAGTGAAAGCTGAGAAGCAAAGGTAATTGAGAACGGTATCAGCTGTGTTTCTTGCATATAAATGCCATTGTTCAAGGTGTGCTGATCCCAGCTAATACATGTTCTGCTTTCATAAAAAGTTCTAAACCAAAACCACCTTAAGGAAGACATTAAAAAAAGCGCTTTGGTTTGTTAACAGCCAGCTAAAAAAATACACAAAAAAACCCCCTATAGCAATGCTAAATTTTACTAATTGCAAAAATACAGAAAAAGAGATACACACTCAGTATTATGCAAAAGTGCCATACCAACATGTATTTTCCCAATGAATTATATAAAATGTAGATTCACAATGCACTAATTCTATAAACCCAAAAGAACATATTCTGTGAAGAAATTTAACATTCAAAACTGCACAGAGCAATAGGCACGTAAGCAAAGCGGAACCGCATCTCTTCTAGGAAATGCTTTCTGAATACATAAAGGATATTTTCATAATAGATGTCATCTCTTCCCCCCCTTCCTCCCCAACAACACTCCCAATTCTTTTACAAGCTGCAGTGGATTTTAAAGGAGCTCTATCTGAATGACTCTCACAAAAAAAGGCTTTGAAGCACACCAAATGTTTGCCCTTATTCTATAGAAACTGTATAGCCATAACTTGGCTCTTCCCTCCCCCCACTCAGTACCTTTCTGGGGTAGTGACTTCACATCCTTTGACATCAGCACAGCTTGAAAGGGGGATGGGAGAGTTACGGCAGAAAGCAGTAAAACCTGCTTTTAACTGTGTATGCAATGCCTCTACGAATTCTTAAATCTTCCCAAAACGCATTTAATATAACCTGGTTTTCGATCGCCCCCGGTTTTATTGCGGCTGTAACAAACCGAAAGGGACTGGGCTACAAAGGACTTCCTGCTCCCCTTACCGAGCACCACAATAGCCCTTCATCAGCTCGTCGGAGGGTCGCGATTCACTCGCACACGCACAATAACTCACCTCTAATATGCAAAAGGGCCACGGGCTGGAACGGCCCATTGGAATTGGCTGCGTCAACCACCATCCTGCTGCCGGCTCTGTTACATGTCAACATCTAGGCTCCAGCAGGCAAGGCAATGTATTCCTTAAGGCAAGAAACCAGCCTCCATTTTAGTTTAAAAAAAGACAGAAACTGAAGCGCTCTGCAGCTGGAGGGAACTGGCTAGTTAGTGATGTCAGCGGGCGGGAGGAGCCCCATTGGCTAACGGCAGCAACTTAAAATGACACTGAGGAGGCCGCGAATGAGCGGAGGCTGGTGCGGGGCTGTCACTGCGCCCTGCGCTGCTGCGCCGGCCCC